AAGAGAACCACAAAGTGGAGCTTTAGCAGCAGGATGAGAGAACTCCCTAGTCTGAGATCCCAGACAACCCTAACAGAAGTAGGGGATGGGAATCTGCCTCTTTGTGCCCAAATCAAAGGTCAAATGAAAGAATGTCTTCCTTCCAGATGAATCAATGCTTTACATACAAGCAACCTGTTTATTTGTTTGTTTGTTTGTTTTGAGTTGGAGTCTCACTCTGTTTCTCAGGCTGGAGTGCAGTGGCCCACTCACAGCCACTGCAGCCTTGACTTACTGGGCTCAGGCAGTCCTTCTGCCTCAGCCTCCCAAGTAGCTGGAACCACAGGCACGCGTCACCACTACACATTTTTTAATTTATTGTAGAGATGAGTTCTCACCAAGTTACCCAGGCTGGTCTCCAACCCATGGGCTCAGGCAATCCTCTCACCTTAGTTTCCCAAAATGCTAGGATTATAGGCGTGAGCCACTGTGCCTGACTGACAAGCAACCTATTTAAACCAATATTAGGCTGGGCACAATGGCTCATGCCTATAATGCCAGCACTTTGGGAGGCTGAACTGGGAGAATGTCTTCAGCCGAGGAGTTTGAGAACAGTCAGGACACATGGAGAGACCTGTCTCTACAAAAAAAAAAAAAAAAAAAAAAAAAGAAAAATTTAAATTAGCTGGGCAAGGTGGCATATGCCAGGAGGCTGAGGTGGGAGGATGGCTTGAGCTCAGGAGTTGAGGCTGCAGTGAGCTATGATCATGCTACTTTACTCTAACCTGAGTGACACTGTCTCTAAAAAAAATAAAGCAAAACAAAACAGACCAAAAGAGTCTCCCCTCTGAGGGAAGGGGAACCAGAAGCCCTTAGAAAGGGAGATCGGAGAGGGTGAGGGACTGAAAACCAACAGTTACTGCAGTTGTCTCTGATGCTTTTTTCCAGTTCTACCTGTCTCATTTGTTTAAATTTCATTCCACGTGAAACTTTTAAAGGAATTAGGCATAGTTCAGGCTCAGGATTGTAAACAACACTCCCCCATGTTCCTCTCCCCTCTTGGAGAGGCCTGCTGTGGAAGAGAGTGTGTACATTCACCAACCCACCATATCTACTCCCACCTAGGCTTAGGATTTACTGTTTCATTTTCAGGCAAATGTTGAACATCTGGTGCAAAAGATGAAAACAACTGTGAAAAGGGGACTGGTGTTAAGGTACCTCATCCACAGCTTGCTCCTAAGTGAAGAAAAAATTAGTCAGGCTTTGGCCCTAACCCACAAAATGGATCTGTGGTCGGGACACCCTGTGTGGTCTGTAGATACAAAGGGAGAGGGCAGCCTATTCCCTGAATCCTGGGAGGAGATAGAAGAGGGAAGAATGCAGCCCATAAAAACAGAAAGGGGGGATAGGAGACAACCAGAGTCACAGGCTTTTGGTCTCTACTTGGCAGGAATGAAAAGTGCAATGAGAACTACACCACAGACTTCATTTTCAACCTGTACTCTGAGGAGGGGAAGGGCATCTTCGACAGCAGGAAGAATGTGCTTGGTCACATGCAGCAGGTAGGGAAGACATCCCAGTCACCAGACGTATAGCCCCCAATAGTCACTGAGGCTTCTGCCGGCCTTCACCAGTCTGCCGGAGGCTGTCAGCACCACCATAGAGCATGGGCTTGTAATCTTTCACAGTCCTAGAACCCAAACATCTTCATCCTTGACGTGACCATAGAGATTGGTTATGTGGCTCATCCTTTTTGTTTAGGGCAGGGTTTCTCAACTTCGGCACCTTTGCTATTTGGGGCTGGATACTTCTTTGTCATGGGTGGCTGTTCATGCATTGTAAGACAGTTTAGCAGCAGCCTTGGTCTCTACCTACTACATGCCAGTAACATCTCCCTTTCGTGTCCAATTGTTACAAAAATGCCTTCAAACATTCCCACTTTCCCACCTACTTTCTCTTAGTTCCAGGAATATCTGTATGATGTTTTTTATTATTCTGAAGTGCTACCAAGGGCAGCCAGATTGGGCCACAATGAACACTTTCATATCATTGGTGATAGTGACTCACAAAAGATGCTAGGCTAAAGAGGGGCAGGGAACTGACCCGGCAGGCTGTAAGACTAAAACAGGATCTGACAGCTATAGAGCTAAGAGAGGGAATTGTGGGAGCAGTTATTTCCTTTAAATATTTCCACCAGCAGAAGCCACAGTGGCTATTCTAATAAATGACCAAATGTGCTGAACTGGCTCACCTGGATCCCAGCACAGTTCAGGGCATGCTTTCATAGTTAGGCTTTTAGATTCTTGTTTCTGGCTATAAACCTGGGGCCCATCTTTCCTTTTTATCTGCGTATCTGGATATCTCTGCCACTTCATTAGAGTCCTTCCCTCTGTCATTTTATGTTTCTTTCTCCAGGGTGGAAGCCCAACTCCATTTGACAGGAATTTTGCCACTAAGATGGGTGCCAAGGCTATGAACTGGATGTCTGGGAAAATCAAAGAGAGTTATCGTAATGGTACGTGGGGTGAGAGGGACAGTGTCCTCGAGAGAGGCTGGTTCTCAGGATAGGAGCTGATCCACCATCCCTTATTGCAGGGCGGATCTTTGCCAATACTCCGGACTCGGGTTGTGTTCTGGGGATGCGTAAGAGGGCTCTGGTCTTTCAACCAGTGACTGAGCTGAAGGACCAGACAGATTTTGAGTGAGTACATAGACTTTCTGGAGTGGTTCTCTCCCTGGTAGTTATCCTTTTCTTTTAGGAGTCACACCTATAATCTTATCCAATTTCAGATCCAATAGCTGTGTCCTAAATCCAACTCCTTCCACCCAACTTCTTCCTATAAGTCTTTTGTAGAAGTTGATTAGGGTGCTAAAAGATTTGAACAGTATCTACCTCATTCCTCCATAGGCACCGAATCCCCAAGGAACAGTGGTGGCTAAAACTGAGGCCCATCCTCAAAATCCTAGCTAAGTACGAGATTGACTTGGACACCTCAGACCATGCCCACCTGGAGCACATCAATCGGAAGCGGTCTGGGGAAGCTGCTGTCTAAACCTCTCCGGAGCAAGAGGAATGTAGACGATCTGGTCATGGTCAGCTCACCACCCCGATAGATCTAAGTACACGTTTTCTCAGTGTTTTAGCTCTTTTTCCATTAGGTTTCCTTTAATCCTGTACCTGCAGCCATAGTCAGCTCTGGCCAGGAGCTGGATCCAGGAGGGAGGGGCAGTGAGTGGAAGCTCCTTTTAGGTAGAATTTAACATGACTTCTACCCCAGCTCCATCTGTCACACAAGGCTGGGCTCCTCTAGTGTTACTGCTAGATTTCATCTACTCAGTGAGACTTCCTAAAATACGCTTTATTTATTTCTTTGTGATAACAAAGAGTTTTGGTTCCTCTACTACTTTTACTACAGTGACAAATTGTAACTACACTAATAAATGCCAACTGGTCACTGCTTTTGGTTCTCCTGCTGTCATCTACAAGAGAAATGTAATACTATCAGCCCCGTGTACCAGGCACTTGCCTGTGAATCAGAAAAGATGTTCAAGGTATCACAGGGGCATAGGAAGGGATTATCTTTAGTACATCACTTCTGCTGGTTGTCCAGAGTATTACTGCCATACTCTAAAAACAGTTCTGAATAGTGTCTGAGAAGACTTGTTGTCAGAATCAGGAATTAAGGCAGCAGCTAAATACTCTTTGCATAGTTCTTTAAGAGGAAGAGAAATTAACAATAAGTAGCAAGCACTGTGGTGGGTATTTTATCATTGAATCTTCAAAATAGCTTTTTGAGGGGAGTGGTGACAGACCCACTTCAGAGATGAGAACACTGAGGCTCAGGATGATTAAATAATGTCTCCTTCAACAATGTTCAGATAGAACTCAAACTCAGTTCTGACTTCAAAGCCCATCCTCATTCCCCATGCCTCTGCTTCTTACCATGCTACATCAATCCCACAAACCTTAGGGGCTGTGAAAATAAAGTGGAAGGGAAAGTATTGGCATTCATTCAGAACATTTTGTGCTAACTGTAGTTAACTTACAGTTTCTTTTTCCTATCTTTAATCCTAGAGCTTTTTCTTGTAGAAAATGATGAAGAAGAAAGGGATGGCTGGGTAGAAAGCTAATCACAAGAAAAATATCACTTTGTAAAGAATAAAATACTGGATCATGATATGATCTGGAAAAATAAAAAGCACAGCAAAGACCACTTAAAGACAAAAACCAAAACCTATGAAGGTATATGCCATTTCCCCAGAGCTAAAAAGTTAAATCACGTGTAAGCCCTAAGTGGAGGGGAAGCAGAATTTATTAGCCACCAACTGCAAGAGTGATTGTGAAGTTACTGAAAAAAACAGTGACATCTTTTCCCACATGGACCAAATGATTTCCCTTTCCAAAATATTAACTGTCATGATGAGAAATGAAGTAGCATCTAAAGCAGTGGTCATAAGCCTAACCTGAATATTAGCACCTAGGAAGCCTTTAAAAATACTGATGCCCAGGACCACTTTGGGCCAATCCCTGCGGGTGGAGCCTGGGCCTTAGTATTTTTAAAAATTTACTTAGGTTGTTCTAATTAATAGGCTTGAGAACTCCTGACTGAGGCAGTGGATCTTATTCCTGGCTACAGAGTAGACGCATTTGAAAATCTTAAAACCCACTGATGTCCCCAGCCCCAGCCTAGAATATTCTAAACAGTTGGTGTGGGGTGAAATCTTGGCATCAGTGTTTTTAAAAAGCTTTTTTGGTGACTTAATGTGCAGCTAGGGTTGAAAACATAAAAGCAGTGGTTCCAAATCTGTGGTAGGGGAGTATAAAGGAAGGAGAAGCTCTGTAAATTCTCTGCCCAAGCCTTGTTCACTCCATCAGTGCCCAGAACGACTGTTGCCAATGGAAGAAAGATTGGGATGGAAAGGCACATTGAAGAGCCAGCCAGTAAAGGAAGAACTTTTTCTAAATGGGGAAGTGGGGGGGGGGGGGGGCTGAGAACAGAGAAAAGCAGGAACAGAGGAAATTGCCAAACTTGCCTTTAGAACTATTTATTTTTTTTTAATGGGCAAAAAACACCAATAGCAAAAGGACAAAAGCAGACATTCTTTTCAAATTAGCTGTGTCAACTTATCTCATTCATTTATTTTAAATTAGCTGTGTCAACATATCCTATTCACTTTTTTTTTTTAGTTTCCAATCAGTTTTTTAAAAAAAGGTTTTTCATATTTGCATACAGGTCATCTAAGATCAAATAACAACGTGATCTAGTTTAGAAACATGAGAAGCAAGAGTATTGTTGACTAAGTGGTATTCACCAAAACAGACCTCTTTTGGGTAGGTGGGCCATCTTATAAGAAGCTCTTACATGCTCTTTCCCCCATTCCCTTGCCAACTCCATCCCCCACCAATATCTTGTAGAGATCCGTTAATAAAAAGGGCTCCCAAAACAAAGAAAAATAACCACACTTGAAGCAGAGTGAGCTTTTCACAGGGAATGGAGACCCATGGGAATAGGCAGCCTAGCCCACAATGCCTCCCCTGCTAGAACAAACACCTTAGTCCAAGAAGTAGGAACTACCGGCTAAGCCCATGAGAGTAAACTGACTTTCAGGAAGAGAAACAGCTGCATTAGAAGAAAAGTTCTCAGGACTTTTAGAAGTTCTCAGGACTGCTTAGAACCTGCTATTTCTTCTATGTAGAAAGCTGCAAGATAATCACTCTTTCTGAAATAACATTGCTGAACTACTATTAACTCTTGGGCACACCATGGAAAAGGGGCAAAGACTGCTATTTCCTTTGATTGGAGAAACAAAACCAGTTCCTTCTGAATGCCTCATGACATGGCACGCTAGGGACATCATCCAGCCCAATTCTGAATCGACATCATTTGACGTTGCAGTACCTTTATCTTTGGGATGCAGTTGTTATCAGTTGACACTGTGATTTTCTTAAACTTCTTCACATAACAATTCAAATGCTATTTAGAAGGTATTCTTCTGGAACATTAGCAAGGTCCCCAAAGGAAAACCACTCATACACTCTTTAAATACTTTCCCTCCTCCTAGGGAAATTTAGTTGCACTGTCAACTCCTTCCCTAAAGGGAAGGGCTAGGGGAGACCTCTCCTTTTGCAGGGTATGCTGTTAAAAGCCAAGTAAGCAATAAACAGAAAACAAAAGTGAGAGTCTTTTGTTTGGTTGCTTGGTTTGGGGTGGGGGGGACATTACTGCTGTAACATGTTGCTTTGAAATCTATAAACCATACAACAGGAAAAACTGCTTTTCTGTTTTCCATGACAAAGAGACAGTACTGCAAGGACAACCTCACCCAGAGTGGCCCACATGATGGTGCAAATGTCTCCTCCAGGCTACTCTACAAGTAACAAGTATTCCTTCAAAGAAGCTGGCAGTGGAAGGCCCTTCACTGCATCAGGCAGATACTGGAGTCCCAGGCTGCGGCGCACAGCATAGCGAGAGAGTGTTTTGAGAGTCCCTGGGGCTGAGCACAGAACCGTCAGTTTTTCACATAGCTGCTGGTCTCTGGCCACTTCTCGTGGCATGGTGCCATTTTTCCTCAATTCAAAGTGTCCAACGGCTCTGTGGAGGAGCTCAAAGCAAGAGTCCTCTTTCTCTGTTCCAAGTCCCCTGACTAGCAGAGCCACCAGGCGGGAGATGGGTGTCTGGCCTTTTAGGTTGACGACTCTGACCTCTGCGCCATAATCAAGAAGGATGCTGACGCTCTCAAGATTTCCCTTCATGGCAGCCCAGCTGAGTGGTGTGTCATTGTTGTAATCCAGAGCATTGACAGAGGCCCCACTCTCTAGGAGAGCCCGCACACACTCAGCATTGTTCTTAAAGGCTGCCCAGTGAAGAGGGGTGTCTCTGTTGCCATCCAGTGCATTGGGGTTTGCACCATACTCCAACAGGACTTCCACACAAGCCTCATCTTTCTCTGCTGCATAGTGGAGGGCTGTTCGGTTGTACCCATCCAGGGCATTCACCTGTAAAAGGGAGGAACTCTATTACAGTCGACACTACTGGGAGGAAGACAGGAGGGCAGCAAAGAAGCCTACACATATCCACCCACTACCTTTGCTACACTGTGCTTTTAACAAAAGTGTCAACGAGCAATTCCTAGGGAGTTCTGGTGATAAAGATGGAGATGTGACTGGAGCTTAGAGGCAAAAAGAAGAACAGTCCCAAATCAATCAACAATCTATTATGTGCATTGCCTAGCTGGCCAGCATGATTTTTATTTGTGTGCGTGTGAAATCTGCCACAATGGCCTGCATTATTTAGGTTTTTGCTGCAACATTCACTTCTCTATGCATTAGAATCTCTACCACAGAGTAAGGGGTAAAGCAGTAAAAGATGAAGTTGAAGTTCTTGTAAGTGCTCTGAAAGACATTTATTGGAGAGTTGCTTGAATATACAGAGTAAGAGTTTGGGGTTGTTTTACTTATCCCGATTCATTTAGTATCCTGTGGCTAATGGCAACCAAACTGAAAAATAAAATGGTCAAAGCTCTGCCCAGATAGCTTACTTAGCTATGTTCTTTAACCATACAGAAAAACTGAAAATATTAAACTAAGTCAGACCTGTGCAAAAATATACGGCAAGTTCACTAGAGAAACCAGATGACAGCATGTGGAGGGAATAGTACTAATCTAATGCTAGAAAAGCAGTTGGCTTGTTGAAAGTCAGCAGCACCTATGGCGTTTTTACTTCAAATTGCCAAATTTTTATGTAGCACATTCCCCCATTAAATGCAATAAAGCAAAACTGAAAGTTAGTTCAATATTCTGTTTAGCTAAAACGTATCTTTTTCCCCACCCCTGGCTATTTTTACTTTCCTTGTTGGCATTAATCACTAGTTTTCACTTCAGGGTCACTCACAAAGAAATAGGCTTAATCACAAAGTTATGGACTAGCAAATAGAGAATCACATGGCTGTATGGAGATGAAGATGCTGAGGCTGGCCCTGTAGGCTCACTGTGCAGCGTGTTTGGGGCGGCACACCAGCTTCAGGGCTTGTTTAACTCACACTGGGACCTCAGCACATGCATCAAGACTGCTCACAGTCAAAACTGCTTGTTTATTTATCTAACAAGCACTTACTTAGCAATTACTATATGCCAGTGTTCCAAATGCTTTACAGTCTTTTGAAAAAGATACCATTATCATCCACTTTTGCAATGGGGGAGCTGAAGTAAAGAAAGGTTTAAGTAACTTGTTTAAGGTCACACAGCTGGAAGTGGCTTAGCTGGAATTCAAATCCATGAACTCTGGCTCTAGAGTCTGTTCTTGTAATCATTCATTATGCTATACTGCTTCATGTCAATGCCAAGGGTCTCCTTTCAACAATTAATCTGTTTTTTATCTTAAGATATATTAGAAAGAAGACAGAAACAAGATATACTAAAACAAACAAAAAAAATTAGTGGGCAAAAACAGCACAATTAATCCTGAGGAAGGGACTGCTTTATATTTCTTTTCCAGTGACAGTGGTATTAGAATTGCACTTTTGATAGCAGGTCCCAAATGGTTTAGATTTAATAAGAATTGAGGGGTCTCTGCACTTATAGTTCCTGGACAGTCAACAGACAGTAAGAGGATTAAACAGAAATATAAACAACCAACAAGGTAAGCTTCTTCCTGGAGCAATGGACAGCTTAAGGAGAAGAAAGAAAGGCAAAGGAACAAAATCCTTACGGTTTAAAAAAAAATTTTATATTTACTATTACTTTTTTTTTTGCAAAGGAACCAAATCCTTAGTTTTTTTTATATTTTCTGTTACATTTTTCTTTAATATCAGCTACACCCATGTTACTATGAGTTGGAAGGTAGGACTGGAGGGGGGAAAAGATGGAGAAGAGATGGGGAGGTATTCTAAGAAAATGTGAAGTTCAAGTTTTAGTGAATCATTAATGTGAAAGTATTCAAAACATTACCTCAGCCCCCTTTTCTAGAAGTAACTCCACACAGTCAGCATCTGACACCATACAGGCACAGTGTAAGGGCTTCAATGTGCCATGGGTGCAGTTCACATCTGCTCCCTGTGGGAAGAAGGAAACTTCAGTCAGCTGTGGCTGGTCCAGCAGGAGACTTGGAACTGAATCCAGAAGGTACTCAATTCTAACCCCGACTACACTGTAGACACACTGCTGGTTCCTAGCTTCCACGAGTTAAATAAACAATATTATAATGTCAATGTCCAATCCAAGGAAATACGCTGAAGATGAAGGAAAGGAACTGCTAACACCTTAGATCAAATAAGTTTCTCTATAAGGTAGCCCACCAGGTGGCCACTGGGACATCACTGAGGACATAACCTGATATATCAAAGCATATTAGAACCTTATTGTCAGGCAGGAAAGCTGGATCAGCAATCTGCTTTACATGGCCACCATGCCCTGAAAAAGTAGGAAAGTAACCGTCAGACCGATGCCAGAACTGCCATGCTCTTTTTGCCATTCAACAAATGACCATCACTTATAGTAGGGTCATTTTGATGTTATTTGTGTGTGCTTGTTCATAAACATCTTCAAAGTAGCCTTTTAGTATCAGCGCTTTCTGCCACCTAGCCTATGCTGGTGCTTCCATTCAAAATCTGATAAAGGAGATGGAAATACCAGTCAGACCAAAGACACTGAATGACTCAGCAGTGGAGCTAGAATTAGAACGTGACAAAGTTTCTACTGCTGAGTCTTCTGACACCAATTTGCTGAGAACAAGCTAACATGGAAACCCTTGTGAGCCTTTCCTCATACCTGGGTTATAATAATTACCGGGAGAGATTTTGCTTGCCTTCTATCTTAGCACAACTACCACTTCTAGTTCTGTAAAGGATATCAACCCCTAAAATGCATGGTAATTATAGTTTAAGAAAGCACCTTTACTATCTGATATCAAAGCACTGCTCTTCAGTAATCCATTAGGGTTTATGAGGAATGTTCCCACTTCACCTCTCAAAGGATTCTTAAGTGTTAACACTCACCCCTCTGATGAGGTCCTCTACATTATCATGTGGGAAGGAGCGGATGGCAGCAATTGTTCGGATCAAGCGCTCTGAGAGAGAGTATTTGCTCTGAATGCTCTGCATAATATACCACATACTGGAACTCATCAAGGCTCAGAGTGTGTTCACATGCTCCAAACTGCCTGAAACAAAGATACAATATCACTGAGCACACCTGTCTTTAGGGTAAGGCACTCTATGAGGCATTCTCCATACTATAAGCAGATTTCAAGAGTTATTAACTAATACCATTTTTCCTAATCATAAAGAATTAGAGTATAGTAGTTGCTTAGAGAGTTGGGTAAACCTAGGCACAAATGCTGTGACCCTCAGGACTTTCTGATGTAGTCTAGTACAAGACTTTCCTAGGAGGTACTAGGACTCCCATGGAGCTCTGTGTGGTTTACAAACAAAGCTGGGAAAGGAATGGCATTTTTTAAAGGCTGAAGATGCCACAAAGCATTCTTTTACTTCTTTGAATTTTTGTGGCCTTTCCTATCAGCACCACTGTTAGGTTATTTATTGCATTTGGCCTTACAGTATAGTTATGAGTTATGCACATATTATTTCACCATCTAAATTGCAATCAGAAGGCAAGGACCTTGTCTTCAACTTTTTTGCTCATGCAAGGGCAGAGACAGAATCTCATAAAAATTCAGTATTTAAAAATATTGGTTGGTTGATGAACTAATGGGTATGGAAGAGCTTGTTACCTGTGAGAAGACAGGAAGGGAGCTATGAAACAAATATATCTATCTTAATAATGACAAGGCATCTGTAAAGTATTTTCAAACGTCTTCAGCAAAGAAAAAAATAGGAAATATTTGAGATACTATTTTAAAATAAGGAAGAAGAGCAAAAGCATAACTATTCTGGAGTCATCAGAAAGCAAAATTAAAGTTAACACCAATGAAATGTGCTTGCATTTTAGGAAAATAAGCAGATTTAAAATGAAAAAACAATTTTAATAATTGGCCAGGTACAGTGGCTCATGCCTGTAATCCCAGTACTCTGGGAGGCCAAGGTGGGAGGACTGCTGTATCTGCAAAAATTTTTTAAAATTATCTAATCGTGACAACGAGAAAAAGATTTGGGGAAATATATGTTGAAACCACAATATGACAGAATTATAAGATGAAAGATTAAAATAATGCAATATATTTAAATGCAATTCTAATAAAAGTTGACTGTATAACAGATAATTACGGAGTATTTAAAATTACAGCTAATAAAATACAGCGTTTCTATACAAAAGCACATATCAAAAATTGTAGAGAAAAATATTTTCAGTATGAGCTCTCTAGGTGTAACTACTTAGAGTCTGTGTTCTTATTAAAATATAAGCTCCTTGAGAGTAAGTATAGTCTTTTTTTCAATAGTGCCTGACCTCCAACAGGTCCTTAATAGCTATTTGTTGAACCAATGAAAAGCTTATTACATTGAATTTATTACTTATTACAATAAATTCAAGAATTGCAGCAATTAAGCACATTATGCATATGAAATTGCATATATATCATTTCACAGTATATAATTTTTGCCTTCTGTGAAGGGACCATCCCTTTATATATTATATAATATGCTATAAACTCTTATGGTTTGTATTTGCTAATCAGTATTATCTATAGCAGATATAAATTCGATTAATCAATAGAACGCAAGTTAAAAATATTCAATTCATAAGCATCAATGATTCAAATAGGATATTCTCCCCCATCTTATCATGAATGTATAAGCTTACACGCTTGCCAAAGACATTTCTTACTAACAGCTCAGTTTCTCTAAAGTGTTCTAGATGGTTTAGGATTGGTATATGTTTTAATCTTTCCAATAACCACTAAACTCCTCAGAGAAATTTTATACTTTGTTGCAAGAAAAAAGGGAAAAAAGACAGATGCATTTGAGTCGACGATTCCAATAATGGGCGCAGAAGACAGTGTCTAAAGAGAGAGGTTTGGACTGAAGTGGTTCTGTTAACCGTTTCTGGAACAGGATAATCTAATGAAACCAAACCCTACACTTTGGGGCAGCTCCTGGACTCCAGGCTAAGAACTCCGAACCGAGAGTACGACCAATGGTCCATGCTGCCTCGAAGATCCCGGGAAAAGGGTGAAGCTTCACATTGACAACACTCACTGTCAGGAAGAGTTAAGGAAATCTAAATTCGACGGCTCTCCGGACAGCAGCCCGGGCAGGTTTGACCCCCCGCAGGGGGCCCTTTCCTCTGCTAGTGCTGAAAGCCCTCTCCCCGCCCCGTTTTCTTTCGTTTCCGGATCCACAGAAAACACCAAAGGGTTTATTTTTATTGCGACGCTAAAAAGCAACATGGAAGAGAAACGACACTCGGCACCTCCGGTGCTGGTGAGGACCCTCGACCGAACCAGAGGTGTCCCCACTCCCACCGCACTTACTGCGGAGGGCTCGCGGCAGCTGTCTCGCCGAGGCCAGGGGGCGGGGCAAGACGCGAAGTGCAAAGATCCGAGCTGTCACTTTCCGCACTGGCTCCCCAAAGATCGCAGCAACCCCGGCCCGTGTGGAACTGAAAGGTGGTCGCGCAATCTGCGCCCGGGGTGCCCCGGAGGCGAATCAACGCCCGCCCCGATCAGCGTCTTAAGGCCGGGAGCTACGTCTTAGCCGCTAGGGCTTGCGGACCTCGAGCGGGGACCGGAGGAGGCGTTAAGGGGCGTGGTGTCCGGGTTAGGGAACTTGACTGCACACCATTCCGCACCGAGGACCGCACTCACCGAATCGCCGGGCAGAGGTGGGTCGTGAGAGCGGCTGTCAAGGTGTGACCCGGAAGCAAAAGGTGTCGGCCGTGGCCTCTCTGTTTACGGGACGAGAAGATCAACTAGGCTGGGCGCCTGCGCACTGGCCGGCGTCCGTCAACAGGACGCGCCTGCGCAGACTTGTGAAGCCTCCTCGGTCCTAGCGCGGCCTAGTTGCGGGTTCCTTTCTCCCCGCCCCAGAGGTCTTGCGCGCAGGCGCAATGTGGTGCCTTCGGCCGCAGGTCCCGGGATGGTGTAGTCGTCCTGCGGTGGGGAAGAACAAACTCGCAAACACCAGCTTGGGCCGGCTTGGGCCGATTCCGTTTGGTCACGCCCGTGTGGACCAGCCTTCGTTGGGTCCATCCCACTTTCATCTCTTCCTTCCACTGTCTTCATCTGAGATCAAGCCTGGTTACCTAATTCCCAGATTATTCCCAAACACTTTCTTTGGCCACTAAGTCCATAGTGGTTCAGTTGCTTAGGAGACTGAACCGTTAGTGTCTTTGGCAAACAAAAAAACTTGCAGCATTATTCCTAATGTTGGAAGCAATCTGTGCTCCTTAGAACCCTCCTGAATATTGTCCATCCTCCTTCAAAGTGAACTGTACCAAAGACAGATTCAACCACCCAAGAGGTGTAGGACCGCAAATGTTGAGGAATAAGTGAGATGTGTATGCTGCTAAAAACCCTTCCCACACGGAGAGATGGTTACACCTGAGTGACAACTTTCCGTGCAAAGTTTAAACATTTCAAAGTCAGCAGCAGGTGGTGGTGCCTGTAAAGGAGTGAAGCAGCCCACACAGGCCGACTGCAAGTGCTGTCTGTTTAACCAAGAGTGCCCTTGCACCTGCTCCCCAAATCTTGTTCTAAGCAACCACATCTGACCAATTAGAGATGAAAGCAGGCCCAGACCATCAGTGAAGGAATGGTGAACTGAAAGTTCCATGACTTAGTCCGAGGAGTGAGCCTCCTCTGAGTTCCAAACTCAAAGGAATTTTGTCACGCAGTAATAGATCCCCTACTTCCTGCCACTGTGCGATGATGAGATTGTCCAGTTTTTCAAAAGAAAAGGAAATTCAGATTTTTTTAAGAAGTGAATTCATCTGGGTCCAAATTGCAAATGTTGGCGATTTTTGTTTTTAAAGAATGATTTTTAAAAAGCAGTCAACATTCAGCCTGCAAGCCACCTCTTCTAGACTCTGGATTAATGGCTGTTTTAGTCATTGGCAGTTCTGTGAAAGAAAGGTTTAGGGGCAGTCCTCTGATTGAAAGGGGTTTTGGTGGGTTGACTTGGTGTTGTAGTTACATATTAGCCACAATGTTTTTTATTTAATTCATAGATTTATTTGGGAAAGCTTGAAGGAACCTAAATGAGATGCCATAGTGGCTAGAGCTCCCCATCCCCCTCAAACCACTCTAAGGCATTTGTTTGAATTCAGTGAATAGAAACAGTTTGAGCTGTATAGAAACAGTTTGAGCTGTATTGGTACCTTAAAGAACTTTAAACCTCCAAGCACAGGGACTAGATATACCTGAGTCAGTGCAGGTCCAAAGTGGGGAAATGCATTCTGGAAACCTAAGTCCTTCCCAGCCAATAGCGGGAAAAAATCATAGGAAAAAGCAAGTCACCTACATATCTTATCCAGACCAAACCTCGTTTCATTGAGAACCTCTCAAACTCCCATCCCTGTGTCTAGAACTGTGTGACTCACATCAATAGCCCAATGATATATTCTTGCCCGATCTCCTTTGATCCTATTTGGCTGGGGAATTACAAGGTTTGAGGCACAGGTTTAATACATTTCATTCCATGATGCTGTGGTCCCAGACCTGCGAAGTCACCTTCTCTCTTGACCCAGTAAGGTGATGTTCTTCTTGGCACCACTCACCGCTCTCTCAAAGTGGAGCACAAGCCTCATACAGCTGACCTGTTGTGAGTTTGGTGAATACCTCTCTGACCCTCATCTTACTGAGTCTAGTTTTAGTGGCTCTACCGCTCTGTCTCTGAGAATTCACTGCACAGCAACAACAGAATGTCCCCACCTATACTCAACAGAGTTGACAGAGTCAAAAGATCCAGGGAATGAAAGACTATACTTGAAGTGTGGCATCCATCCCATTGAGACAGAGCAGGCGCCCCTCTTAGGGGCCTTCCTGGACCCCCAAGCATAAAAATAAAAGAAAATCTAGAGTTTTTTCTAAAGAGGCTCAAGGCACCCAGCTAGGCCTGAGAAGTAAATAAGCAACTTGATAACCAAGAAGGTAAGAGTAGCTTGGAACAATAGCCAAGGAAATTAGTCATGAGATATTTGGATCCTTATAGAAACTAAAGATAACATCTTACCATATGTCCCTGAATTATTTTTCAGAAACCTGGACCCTCAACAAATGGATTTGCTGGCACATAAACCTCAGATAAGAGGAAACTGAGGACTGAATTCTGACCATAGTTCTTTGTTCTAAATTTCTTCCTCAGGGACCCGGAGGATGTCATGCCCATGGTCCAGACTTAACATTCTTTTCTGTTGATCCCAACTCTGTAGACAAAACTTCCTTTCCTTAACCAATTGCAAAAAAAAAAAAAAAAAAAAAAAAATCATTAAATCCACCTATGACCTATAAGCCACTTTTTTTTTAAGGCCAAACCAATGTATAACCTCTAAGTACTGATTTACGATTTTGACTGTAACTTCTGCTTTCCTGAAGTTTACTCCTGCCTTTAAAAACCTATGCTTATAAGCCTTTGGAAAGGCTGAGTCTTAAAAGAAGAAGTCACCAGATTCTCCTAGCTCTGTGTTCTTCAAGTAAACGCCCTCCTTTCTCCCACAGCAAAACCTTGATGTAGATATTTGGTCTTACTGTGCCAGATGAGCAGACCCCAGTTCAGTCTGGTAACATCTTCTCTGAGGTTCCATGCCTTGGCATCTCTTGTTTAATGTCATGTGTCAAGCAGAGTGGTAGAAAGAGTAAGAGACCACAGTATGTAAGACCTGGGATTTTGTCCTGGATCTGAGATTAATTAGTTATCTCAGTCCATTTCTCCAGGTATTTGTTTTCTCCTTTGTAAAGTGAGAGTATTGGTGAAATGACCTATAAGTATTCTTATATTTCTATAAATTCTGATTCTACTTAATTTCTAAGCAAAAATTCTTACTTCCAAAATATTTGCTCTCTAGTCCAAATATGAACAGCTTTGTGGCTATCTTAAGAGTACTATGTTAATGGGGCCTGTAAATGTTTAATTACAAGATGCAGGGGCTACATCTTTTCTGTTTAAATATTCTTCTTCTTGCACCTTCTTTATAAAGATTAATGATTCCGGCTTCAATTTCTTAATGTTATTTTTATAATAAAAAGTTCAAAGATACAGAAAAAGTAGGGAGAATTGTATGACAAACACTTTATATTACCCATATTTAACTAATTAACATTTTGCTGAGTATTTTAAATCTAATTTTTTGTTTTTTGTTGTTTTGTCCAGTGTTAGGTTTTTAAAATAAACTACTCAAACAATATTCACAGATTCCCACAGAGTTGAGGACAATTGTTTTTCTCAGAAGGCTTAATTTGGCATCCTATAACTTTTCTGAAACTCTGATATATCTCATATTCATTCATCCATTTATTCCTTGAAAAGAGATGGATCTTTTTTCCTTGGGTTGTCTCATCTCTCAAATTTCTTGGTTGGTAAATGTTAAAGTATATACATCCTGGGAAACTGCCAGCATCTTATAAATGTAAGAATGAGTCGAGTCTCTTAGGGAGTGATAAAATTGTTTGTCCATACAATTCTTTTCAAGTGTCTCTAAGAATTCAGTGCGCAACAAAAGTTGGTTTCAGATACATTCATTCATTCCTTCATCAAACATTTACTGAAAACCTACTTTGTTTTAGGCTTTGTGCTCAACTGTTCAGGGAAGACAGAAATGGAGAGATATAGTTCCTTATTATCAAGGTTTGGGAGACAGTTATGAACATCATAAATCACAGTTAAAGATGATTATTTCAACATGATTTTTATGTACAAAGTCAATGCTGAAGAAGAGATCTACTTCATGGTAAGATCAAGAGAGTGTAGGGAGGGTCTGTAAAGAAGTTTCTTGGGGAGAAATTTTGTGTGCTGTTGAGTTCCCACTCTCCTCTTACCCAGAGGGACAGGAAGTGCTGGTGCTGCTTCTTTCTCCTTCAGCCTAAAGAGGAGCTTGTGTAGGACCAGAGAACTTGAAAATGTACCCCATGGTTGCAAAATAGAGAACTGCACCAACTCTTGCCTAGACATTAAAGAGTTCTGTAGCCACAAAGTTGAGGTAGCTGTACTGGAATCTGCCTGGACACTCAGATTCAGCAGAGATGTGAATGGTTAAATGCTTTTCTGGACCAGATGTGGGCCTCATAGAAGACAGCCAACATGGGGTTACCTTTGGTTTATTCAAAAGGCCTGTCTAGGAATATGGAGAGAACCAGTGGTCAGAAGCTAGACATGAACACAGGAATCCTGCAATCCACAGAGTTTGTCCCAGGGAACCACTTGCATTCGTCTAGAGCAAAGGGACTCAAGGGAGAGATCTCCGATAACGGGAATTTCCAAGGAACCTTTAAAATCACCTTCAAGAAAAAGAGTCAGTTTAACTATCTGCCTAAGGCCTAGGTAGTACAGGGCCACCCTATCTCCTTAGCTGTCCTACCTCCTCCCACTTTTATACAAACAAATCCAATAGCTAGTGAGGGAAGAGGTGAATTGAGGAGAAAGCTGAAGGTAGCCACCAACCACATGTCTTACATGGAGGAGGAGGTATTAGACTAATACCTTAGAATGAAAACTGAAGTATTTATTGCCATTTTGAATTGGAAATATTCTAATTATCAGATTGAGACTATTTGTTTTAAAGTGACTGTTACTTAAAGGACTGTCAATTATCAAAAAGTGAAACAACAAGCAAGGGAATTTTTCCAATTTTCCATTCAGGAGCAGGAGAAGATTATTCCCCTCCCCCCAATAAATTTTTTTAATGGTAAAGGGCAAAAATAAAGTTGTATTTTGCTCACATCCTGTAAACCTTACATTCAGTATTCAGATTCCATCTCTATAGTTTTAGTTGGTTCTTT